ATAGGCAAGGGGTAGCAAAGCAGGCAAGCAAGGGACAACCATAGCTCTTTCTATCCTTAATATCTTATCCAGGCTATTTGTGGTGGGCAGCACTCACACCCTTAATCCTACTACCCCTGACCCTAGCATTGCACCATGAATCACTCTAGATCCCCCCACCTATGAAAAAGTCCCACCTATGACCTCATGAGGCTTTGTTGGGGGGACATCTTGACACAAACTATAACATGTACCTCAAGAGTCAAGAAAAACAGGAACAATCCAAATCCAACACTAGTACACGGAAGAAAATTATAAAGATCAGAGCAGAAATCAATGAAATTGAGACTAAGAGCAATTTAAAGAATCAATGGATCTAAGATCTGGTTCTGAGAAAGAATAAACAAAATAGACAAACCCTTAGACAATTTTACCAAAAAAGGAAGGAAAAGACCCAAATCAATGCATTTAGAAATGAAAAAGGCAAGAAGAAAAGGAATTGTAATGTGATATATATGTGTACCAACTCCACAGAAGCATTGTAAAAATTATGTGCTGCAAACAGGCACAAAAATGAAGGTCAAAAGATGGATAGAGGGGAGAAGGAGGGAAAGAAAGGGGGGTGAAAATGGAATTAACATGTGTTATATACATTTACTCACTTCCCTCAAGACATGTAAACATTACGTGCTACACAAATGTACTAATACACGAAAATTTAAAAATAAACACAAAATAAATAAATGAACAAAAATTAAAAATGCTGTCCAGCCAGATTACTTATTTTAAAATGAAAAAGTTCTTATGGCTTGTATCTAGATGTCTCCCTCAATGCTTCATGTGCTCATAGGTGGAGCTTTTAGGAGGTGGCTGAATCACGAGTGTGTGGCACTAGGATTAAGGTTATCCACTAATTGATTTATTATAGTTCTGGGTGTAGATAATGGGAAGACGCACTCTACAGGTAGGTGGCACCATGCAAAAGGCTTGTAGCCTGGATGGGGTAAGAGGGAAAGGAAGGCCTGCTGCTGCTGCTGCTTTTTGCCCACCTTGCTATGTACTGTTTCTCCTAGGCCATGCTGCCCCGTCTTGGACCAGCTAACTATAGATTGAAACCTCTACCAACTGTGAACTGAGATAAACCTTTCCTCCTTTAACTTGTGAGTGTTGAGTATTTTGTTTCAGCAACAAGAAAATTAAGGAAGACAAAGATGAAATTACAACAGACACTGCCAAAATCCAGAAGATTGTTAGTAATTACTTTGAGAATCTGGATTCTAATAAATTGGAGAATTCAGAAGAAATGGATAGATTCCAAGAGACATATGAATTACCAAAACAGCACCAAGAAGATGTAAAAACCCTGAACAAGCCAATAACAGGCAGTGAAACTAAAGAAGTTAAAGAAACAAAACTATTAACTGAGAAAAGCCCAAGCTCCAATGGATTCACTACCAAATTCTACAAAACTTTAGGAAAGATATAGTGCCAATATTTCTCAAACTCCTTAACAAAACTGAAGGGGAGGGAGTACTCTCAAAGTTATTCCTAGAAGCTAGCACTACCCTGATTCCAAAACCAGAAAACGACCCAACCAGCAGAGAGAACTATAGGCCAATCTCTTTTAAAAATATAGATGCAGAAATCCTCAACAACATTCTGTCAAACAGAATGCAACAAATCATCAGAAAGATCACACATCATGACCAAACAGACAACATTCCAAGGAATCAAGGACAGTTCAACATATGCAAATCAATAAATATGATACATCACATAAACAGAAGCAAGAAGAAAAATCACACAATCCTCTTGATTTATGCAGAAAAGGGTGGGGCTTTTTTGTCTCACTATGTAGTTGAGACTGACCTGGAACTCACTATGTAGCCCAGGCTAGTCTCAAACTCACACAGTGATCCTCCTGTCTCAGCCTCCCAAGTGATGGGATTACAGGCATGCGCCACCACGTCCAGCTCTCAGAAAATGGTTTTGACAAAATACAACATCCACTCATGACAAAAATCCTGAAGAAAATGGCATAGAAGGACCTTCTCTCAATATAAGCTATTTATGACAAACCAATGTCCAACATCATATCAAATGGGGGAAAAGCTGAAAGTTTTCCCTTTAAAAATCAAGTACAGCCAGGCATGGTGGTACACACCTGTAATCCCAGCACTCGGGAGGATGATGCAGGAGGATTGCTGTGAGTTTGAGACCAGGCTGGGCTACATACTGAGTGCCAGGACAGTCTCAACTACATAGTGAGACCCTGTCTCAAAACAACAAAAAATAAATAAATAAAAGTTAACAATCAAGTACGAAGATGTCTGCTATTACCACACATTTAATATAGTTATTAAAACATTAGCTAGAGCAATTGGGCATGAGAAAGAAATAAAAAGGATATGGGCAGGAAAATAAGAAATCAAATTATTATTATGTACACATGAGAATATCCTCTACATAGATACAAAAAAAATTCACCAAGACTCCTATAATTAATAACCAAATTCAATAGTACAGCAAGATACAAAGTCAACATACAAAAAATCAGTTGTATTCCTGTATTCCAATAATAAACTAACTGAGAAAGAAATTAGGAAATCAGTACCATTCACAATAGCATCAAGAAAAATTAAATACTTGGGAATTGACCTAACCAAGGAAGCAAAAGACCTTTGTAATGAAAACTAAAATGCTCCAATAAAGAAGCTTAAAGAGGACATCAGAAAATGGAAAGATACCCCCTGTTCCTAGATAGGCAGAATAAATATTGTCAAAATGGAAATACTTCCAAAATTGATACACAGATTTAATGCAATCCCAATGAAAGTAAAAATAGCACAGATCTAGAGAAAACAATCATAAAACATATATGGAAGAGTGACTGAGAATAGCAAAAGCAATCCTGGGCAACAAAAGTGAAGCAGGAGGTTTTACAATCCTGTATTTCAAGTTATACTAAAAAGCTTCAGAGATTTTAAAAAAAAACAAACAAACAAAAAACAGCATTATATCGGCAAAAAAAAAAAAGACATTTGGATCAATGGAACAGATCAGAGAATGAAGAAACAACTCTGGGCACATTTAGCATACAACGAAAGTATAGCTCATTCAAAGAGGGAAAAATATAAATCAACAGAAACTACCCCTGAAAAATGCCTGATGGCCAATCAAGTAGACAAAGGCTTTAAAACACCTATCCTAAAGATGCTTAAAAAAAAACTAAAGCAAGACATATAAAAAGTCAATAAAATGGAAATGTCAATAAAGAGACAGGAAAACTAAAACTAAACCAATTAGGAATTCGGGAGCTGAAGGAGACAATAACTGCAATGAAACAGAAATTCAAATCCAGAAGGAAGAACCAAACTTGAACACGAACCAATGAAAATTATTGGCTCCACAAAACAGAAAAAAAAGGAATAAGACTGAACAGAATCTAAGAGACCAGGTACATAATCAAGGCAACCAACATAGACATTGTATGTGCCACAGAATGAGAAGACAAACTGTTTGACAAAATAATGAACAAAACTTCTCAAATGTAATGAAAGATATAAATAGAAACATCCAAGAAGCTCAACTAATTCCAAGTAGGGTAAATTCAAAAAGCCAAACAAAGAGACAAATTCTAACCAACTTGTTGAATGCCAAAAACAAAGACAATTTTAAAAGCAGTAAAACAAAGGCAATTCATTACATATAAGTGATTTTCAGGGAGATAGTCAAGTTTCTCATAAGAAAATTTGGAGGCAAGAAGAATCTTATATCTAGCAAAATGCCTTTCAAATACAAAGAATAAATTAAGACCCTCCCAGATAAAAATTGAAAGTTGATTGCCACTAGACCCTTCCTGCAAGCAGTGCTCAGTAAGGTCCTGCAAGATGAAAAGAAATGACGCTAGATGGTAACTAAAAGCCACAATAATTTAAAAAATAAGGATTACCACTGAGATAATTACATATGCAACTATAAAAGCTAGTATTACAGTAACAATGGTTTATAATCCCACTTTTTGTTTTCTATATGACATGAGACCAAAACATTAAAAACTTACTAGTCTAAAACCTAGTATTACTGTAACTTTGATTTGTACATTTTTTTCCTACACAATTTAAGAGACATGGATTTTACAAGTATTAGCTTATGTTTTTGTAACACAATATGTAAAGATATAATTTTGTGGTATTAATATTAACAACCAGAAGGGGAGAGGACTGGGATGTAAAAGAGCAGAATTTTTTATGTTTTGCTGTTAAACTAGAGTAAGTTCAAATTTGAAGATTACAACTTTGGATATTAAATTCCTTAATTTTTTTTCTTTTTGTACCGGGTATTGAACTCAGGACTTTGCACTGGCAAAGCAGGCAGTGGAACCACTGAGCTAAATCCCTGGCCCCCATGACATTTTTCACAAAAATAGAAAAAATAATCTTTTTTTTTTCCTCATTGAGTTTATTGGTACATTCTAGATATACAGTACAGTTACAGTTACATTCACTATTGGGATCTTGTACCTTTACATGACAAGGTCTTGGTTCTCATTTTTTCCCCTTGTCCCTGCCCTCCCTTCACCCCTCTTCCCTCCCGCTTTACAAAACACTTCATTTCCATTTATTCATTTTCTCATATTTTTTCTTTTCCCTTTTTCCCTTTCCCCTACCCTTCCCACTTCCCCTATACCTTTAGCCCCTTTCTTCCTATTTCACATTGTCCATTATATCATTAGGATCTTATGTACTATTATAATTTATTCACACCAGAGAAACTATTCGGTATTTACACATGTGTGACTTATTTATTTAACTTAGGAGTATATCCTCAATATGTATCCATTTTCCTTTGAATGAATCTAATTTCTCATTCTTTGTGGCTGAGTAATATTCCACTTTATAGAAAAACCACATCTTCTTTAAAAATATGGAATACGGCCGGGGATTTAGCTCAGCGGTTTGGTGGCCTGCCTCACAAGCGCAAGGACCTGAATTCAATCCCTGGTACCAAAAAATAAAAATAAAAATATGGAATGCTTCACAAATTTGCATGTCATCCTTGCACAGGGGCCATGCTAATCTCTGTATCGTTCCAATTTTAGTATATGTGCTGCTGAAGCAAGCACAGAAAAAATAATCTTAAAATGTGTATGGAAGCAAAAAGACCCTGAATACCCAAAGCAAACTTAAGCAAAAAGAACAAAGCTAGAGATACTTCACAACCTGATTTCAAACTATGTTACAAATCTAGTAATCAAAACAGCATGGTATTAGCTGGGCACGGTGGTGCATGCCTGTAGTAATCCCAGCACTCAAAAGGCTGAGGCAGGAGGATCACTGTGAGCTCGAGACCAGCCTGAGATACATAGTGAGTTCCAGGTCAGTCTCAACTATATAGTAACACCCTGTCTCAAAAAACAAAAACAAACAAAAAAACCAAAACAGTATGGTATTAGCAAAACAAATAGACATATAGACCAATGGAACTGTTTAGAGAACACAAATTAATTCATGAAATTACGGTCAACTGATCTTTGATGAAAGTGCCAAGAATACACAATAGGGAAAGGACAGGCTCTTCAGTAAACGATCTTGGAATAACATGGCATCTGCATGACGAAGAATTAAACTGGACCCTTATCACACATCATATACAAAAATCAATTCAAAATGAATTAATGCTCAAATATGAGACCCCAAGCAGAAAAATTTTTGGAAGAAAATATAGAAGAAAAGTTTGGTCTTGGCACTGATTTTGTGAATAAGACACCAAAATGACAGGCAACAAAGAAAAAATAACAGATTCAATTTTAGTTTAAAAGCTTCTACACAGTAAATGACATAATCAACAGAATAAAGAGACAACCAAAGGGAAGGAAAGAAATCATTTGCAAAGTATACTTATGGTAAGGGGTTAATATCCAAAATATATAGAGAAACCAAACAGTTCCAAGGGAAGAAAAAACTTCCATTTTTTAAAATGGGTAGAAGATCTGAATAGACATTTTTCAAAAGAAGACATACAGATTCCAACAGGTATATGGAAGAAGTGGTCCATGAATTATCAGAGAAGCATAAATTAAAACCATAATGAGATGCTATCTCACATCTGATGAAAGCGATAGTATCAAAAAGAAAAAAATAACAAGTATTATTTTTAAAATGTGGAAATAATTGAACCCCTGTCCAGAGTAAGTAAAACATAAATATAAGTATAGCCTTATGGATGACAGTGTGATTGCTGCTCAAAAAATTAATAACAGAACTACAATATTATCCAGCCAGCCTAACCCTGGGTATGCATCCAAAGGAAATGAAATCCTCACCTCATAAAGATATCTGCATTTCCACAATCATCACAGCACTCATTTTTCATAGTCACCAAGATATGGAAATTTCAACAAATGAAGCTTTAAAGGACATTTAAGCCATATGCAAACCACAGCAAAGGCCTACATTATTAATAAAAATGGTCTCAAATCAACAACTTAACTTTATAACTAAAGGAATTAGAAAAAAAGGTCAAACTGAATGTAAAGCAGAGGAAGGAAACAACAAATATTGGGATAGGTAAGTGAAAAAATAATACAGAAAAATCTAAAAGTCAATCGTTGGTTCTTTGTTAAAAATCAACATTGATAAACCCTAAACTAAATGGACAAGGGGACAAAAAAAGAAAAGACTCAAATTATAAGAATCAGAAATGAAAGTGGGAACGGTATTGCCAATTCTATAAAACTAAAATGATTATAAGGAAGTACAGTGAAAAACTGTATGCCAATAACTTGAACAACCTACTTGAAATAAACAAATTTCTAGAAACACAAAACTTACTACTTCCAGGAAGATGGCAGAGTGGTGAGCAGCGTAGAAAGAGCCTCTCTGAGATTTGGTGTCCTGACACTGGAATATAGCTGTGAAAAGAGGAAAAGAAGGAGGGAAATGGGTCCCCAGGTCCCAGGTAGGAGCTGAAGTGAGAATTGAAGACCACAGGGAGAGTTAAGAGAGACTTTAACAAAGAGGAGGGAAATAACAAGCAGTGCTCTCGCAGAGCCCAGACTGTCAACGAGGGAATGGTGGATCCAACCCACAGACTCACGGTGACTACTGGTGACCCCAGGGGCCTCTGAGGAGAGACGCAGAAGTGGATGCAGTGGACAGGAGCAGCTGGTGAGTTAACCGGGTTCAGACGTCACGCGGGGGGCGGGGAATTGTCCGGTAGCCATCTTGGAAAGGGGCCAACAGCTCAGAACTCAGATCAACTATGGGCCCGACCCCATCTAGTGGCTCCCAGTGCCTCGGCATGGTGCCAAGTTCAAGTCAGCAGAGTTCAAGCCTGCAAGAGGCAGAAGGACAGTTGTAGGCTCAAGGAATCCAGTTCTAGCCTCATAACCAGAACCAGCCTGAACTTCAGTGGGCAGCCAGCTGGGATTATCTTCTACCACACTGTGAAGCTGCGGCTGGCTTGCTGGGATTAATCAACTCAGCTATTATTTGTCTGCGCTGACTACCAGTAATAACAGAGACACACCTTGAATTGGACTTATTTTTTTTCCTTTTCTTCTTTTTGTCCTTTTTTTTTTTCTCTCTCCATTCTGGTTCTGATTTTGTTTTGTTCTTCTTGATTGTTTGAAACATAATTTCTAGTTTTTTGTTGTTGTTCTGTTTTGTACTTGTGTTTATTTCTTCCTCTGCCCTCCACCCTGTCTTACACAGTTTCCTAAAGTTTGTTCTCCAGCCTTGCTTCTGATCTCTTCCTCTTCTGTTTTTCCTCCCTAACCCCTTCTGAATCATCTCCACTAACGGTAGATTCACCATATTAAGATTCACCATATTAAGGGTAGATTCACCATATTAAGTAAATTCACCAAAATTTACTGCGTGCAATTTTTGCTTTGTTCTAAATTGTGTTATATAACCACAAATATAGTTCATACAGTTAAAAATAGCAAACTAATGATTACCACGGTTTGTCATTTTCTACGCTGTATTTCATGGTATTGTTATTGTTGATTGTACTACATTAGCCAAGGTGACATAATTGTGCTAATCAGTTGTTCCTCCTTGTATACCAAGACTGAGATTGCCTAAAGGTCTTCAAAAAAAAAAAAAATGTAGGCCACTGCCAAAGAACTGACTCCTGGGCCAACTATACAGAAACTTCTCATCCCCAATAAAGTGAACAGGTAGGACTGTGCAACAGACTCAAAACCCAAAAGCCAGCTACACCCGGAAGACACTTCTGAGGAGTGGTCAGGAGGATCACAAGGGTTCTGAACACTGGCAATAAAGCTACTTGCCATAAGCAACTTATAAAAGTCAACCCAGGAATTAAACTTAATTTAAAAATAAAAAATGAGAAAGTGAGAAGGCACATAAAGAAGATACAACCCCCGCCCCCAGACTTTCAGTTCGCCAAAGGCAAACCCAGGGTACAGTAAGATGGAACAATCCAAAAGCCACCCACGTGGACTCTCTGAAGTAACAAAGCAGATGAAGGAAGTTCTAGAAAACTTACCAGGACTAAGTCGTGGAGAAAGTCTGAATAGATGTATAATTAGTAAGGAAAGATTGAATCTATGATTCAAAAATAAAATATCTTGGCAAAGAAAAGCCTCGAACATGGTGGCTTCATTGATGAATTCTGCAAAAACTTTTAAAGAACATCAATCCTAGGCTGGGCATGGTGGCGCACGCCTATAATCCCAGCACTCAGGAGGCTGAGGCAGGAGGATCACTGTGAGTTCCAGACCAGCCTGAGCTATATAGTGAATTCCAGGTCAGTGTCAACTACATAGTGAGACCCTGTCTCAAAATTTAAAAAAAAAAAAAGTATCAATCCTCCTTAGATTATTACGAAAGTTGAAGAGGGAACACTCTAATTCATTGTATAAGGCCAGCATTACTCTGATACCAAGGCCACACAAAAATACTACAGAAAAAACACAATCTAATAGTCCCTATGAAGATTGATGCAAAAATCCCCATCAAATATTAACACATGAAGTACAACAGCATATAATATACCGTGGCCAAGTGGGATTTATTCCTGGAATGCATGGATGATTTCAGGATGTTAAAACAGATTGATGTAACCCAACACATTAACAAAATGAAGAATAAAAATCATATGACATCTTGATGCAGACAGAGCGTTTGGCAAAATTCAGCATGCTTCATGATAAAAGCACTCAACAAGCTGTAAACAAAGAAACTTCTTTAACATGGTAAAAGCCATATATGAAAAACTCAGCAAGAAAGCAAGAAAAAGAAGGAAAGATAGGAAGGGAGGAAAGTTGCAGTCAGGCATGGTAGCACATTCATGTAGTCCCAGTACTCTTGAGAGCCTGAGGCAGTAAGATCACAAGTTGAAATCCAATGGAGGCAACTCAGTGACTTTGTAAGACCCTGTCTCAAAAATAAAAGGGGAGAGGTTAGGGTGAGGGATGTAGTAAAGGCCTAAGATTTAATCCCTTGTACTAGGGAGAAAGAAAGCAAGAAAAGAGAAAAATAAATAAAAGGCATCTAAATTGGAAGGAAGAAGTAAAAATTTTCTCTGCCTGCAGATGATAGTAATACTTGCACAGTCTCAAGACATTTTGAAGTTTATGGCACAAGGAAACTCAATAATATGGATCCTGTCTTTATCTTAAAATTTGATGTTTATCATTGACTCTTTGCTTAATTCTTGATTTTTTAAATATTGCAATAAAATATGATTTCTTTTGACTACTGAATTTTTATTGCTTCTTTTATTTACCAGAAGTTGAAGCAAGGAGAATTCCTTGCTTGCCTTACCCTATTCTTGGGCCTTATTAACACTCAGCAAATTTCTAGTACATAATCTTAGTCATACTTCAAAATTATGTCAGAATAGAAGAAAAATCTTGCACTGGTGGATAATTTTCCAATCCATCCAGACCCTATCCAGGTCCAGCACTTCAGTCTGTACATGAGGGTCCTTACATCCGTATTATTCTTCCCATCTTCACCTGGTTGACTGTCTCTCATCCATCTGGAGTCAAGTATCTTGTCAAAGAAACCTTGACTAAACCATTCCTTTATATTTCCAACTACAAAATATTGTTTATTTTACAGCACTTAAAATGTTTGCATTTTTGTCTTA